ACTGTTACAGTTGTCTCAGTGCTAAAATCACAATACTTTTACAGTCGCCTCCATGTTACAGTCACACTACTGTTACAGTCGCATCAATGTTACAGTCGCACTACTGTTACAGTTGCCTCAACATTACAATCACAATACTTTTACAGTCGCCTCCATGTTACAGTCAGACTACTGTTACAGTCGTCTCAGTGCTAAAATCACAATACTTTTACAGTCGTGTCAATGTTAGTCGCACTACTGTTACAGTCGCATCAATGTTACAGACACACTACTGTTACAGTCAGGTCAATGTTACAGTCGCACTACTGTTACAGTCGCCTCCATGTTACAGTCACACTACTGTTACAGTTGTCTCAGTGCTAAAATCACAATACTGTTGCAGTCATCTCAATGTTACAGTCACACTACTGTTACAGTCAGCTCAATGTTAGTCGCATTACTGTTACAGTCAAGTCAATGTTACAGCCGCACTACTGTTACAGTTGCCTCAACATTACAATCACACTACTTTTACAGTCGCCTCCATGTTACAGTCACACTACTGTTACAGTTGTCTCAGTGCTAAAATCACAATACTTTTACAGTCGCGTCAATGTTACAGTCGCACTGATAAAGTTGCCTCAACATTACAATCACAATACTTTTACAGTCGCCTCCATGTGACAGTCACACTACTGTTACAGTCAGCTCAATGTTACAGCCGCATTACTGTTACAGTCGCATCAATGTTACAGTCACACTACTGTTACAGTCGCATCAATGTTACAGTCGCACTACTGTTACAGTTGCCTCAACATTACAATCACACTACTTTTACAGTCGCCTCCATGTTACAGTCAGACTACTGTTACAGTCGTCTCAGTGCTAAAATCACAATACTTTTACAGTCGCGTCAATGTTAGTCGCACTACTGTTACAGTCGCATCAATGTTACAGACACACTACTGTTACAGTCAGGTCAATGTTACAGTCGCACTACTGTTACAGTCGCCTCCATGTTACAGTCACACTACTGTTACAGTCGCAACAATGTTACAGTCACACTACTGTTACAGTTGTCTCAGTGCTAAAATCACAATACTTTTACAGTCGCCTCCATGTTACAGTCACACTACTGTTACAGTCGCATCAATGTTACAGTCGCACTACTGTTACAGTTGCCTCAACATTACAATCACAATACTTTTACAGTCGCCTCCATGTTACAGTCAGACTACTGTTACAGTCGTCTCAGTGCTAAAATCACAATACTTTTACAGTCGTGTCAATGTTAGTCGCACTACTGTTACAGTCGCATCAATGTTACAGACACACTACTGTTACAGTCAGGTCAATGTTACAGTCGCACTACTGTTACAGTCGCCTCCATGTTACAGTCACACTACTGTTACAGTTGTCTCAGTGCTAAAATCACAATACTGTTGCAGTCATCTCAATGTTACAGTCACACTACTGTTACAGTCAGCTCAATGTTAGTCGCATTACTGTTACAGTCAAGTCAATGTTACAGCCGCACTACTGTTACAGTTGCCTCAACATTACAATCACACTACTTTTACAGTCGCCTCCATGTTACAGTCACACTACTGTTACAGTCATCTCAATGTTACAGTTGCACTACTGTTACAGTCACGTCAATGTTACAGTCGCACTGCTGTTACAGTCGCATCAATGTTACAGTCGCACTACTGTTACAGTCATCTCAATGTTACAGTTGCACTACTGTTACAGTCACGTCAATGTTACAGTCGCACTGCTGTTACAGTCGCATCAATGTTACAGTCGCACTACTGTTAGTCTCCTCAATGTTACAGTCACACTATTATTAAGGTTGCCTCAATTTTATAGTTGCAATACTGTTACAGTCAGCTGAATGTTACAGTCGCACTACTGTTACAGTCTCCTCAATGTTACAGCCACCCTACTGTTACAGTCTCCTCAATGTTACAGTTGTCTCAATGTTAACGTCGCACTATTGTTACAGTCACACAACTGTTACAGTCGCCTCACTGTTACAGATGCACTACTATTACAGTCACCTCAATGTTACAGTCGCCTCAAAGTTACAGTCATTACGTTCATGTTTGTGCATTATTGCATTGCTAATCGGAAAAAAAATTCAGCACTAGCATTCATTTGAAGCTCAGTATCCCAATAATAAACCCTGAGGAAACAGATAAAAGTTTACAGCTGGAATACTGGACGCACATTCATGAGCTCACAGATTAACAAACATTTATTTTGGGCTTTTGAATTTGAAGTTAAACAGTCCAAATCCATATATTAAAGATAATTCACATTTTCATATGCAAATAATGGAAGAACTTTTACTTACCCTCAACACGACTAGCGAATCTAACCTTCGCCTCTGTTCCAAAACAAAGAAAGCGGTCAAATTACACAGTCATCCATTTTTCAAGAGATGGGTTTTAAAACAACCAATGGCCTGCTGTGTTTATTCCACGCGCATATATAAATGATATTTGTGTCAGTTTATGTTTGCTCGTACCATTTTTCACAGTTTTTGCATCTCTGCATTCCAGCGCTGAGCTGATACTCTGCTTTCCTGATATCCTTGAGCTGCTTCTGGGCTTTTGTTTGGGCTTATCTGCGAGACATTAACACAAACGCACACGCACACGCACACACACACACACACACACACACACACACACACACACACACACACACACACACACACACACACACAGCAGAGGTTATTCTGGAGAAGTACTTTCAGCTTATTCATCTGGCCTGTTCTTATCTAAGAGAGCGTTAACACATATACACACACACACACTCTAAGGTGAGACAGGAGAGCACAACCGCAACACTTCATCTCGCTCTTATTGGAGTGGCTTGTTCTTATCAGAAACCAAGTGTAAGGCCCTTAAACAGACCGTATATCCTTCTGAAGGATCCCTTGTTGGAAACAAGAGCTTTGCGTTTATTTTTAACAAGATCCTTCATTATTTCAATCTGATCTGAGCCGTTTGAGTGGCACGATTTCAGCACGGCTGTTTTATAAAACTCTCAATATTTTGGACAGCTTTGCAAAGTGTTTCTGAGAGACACTTTTATTAATTGTATCCGACTAAACATGAAACTCACAGCTAATTTAAGTAGTGCATGCTTTTAGGACTACATTTAACACCTTTGTATTTAAATTTGCATTCGCAGTTTTAATATAAACTAGGGTGACACGGTGGCTCAGTGGTTAGCACTGTGGCCTCACAGCAAGAAGGTTGCTGATTCAAGTCCCGGCTGGGTAAGTCGGCGTTTGTGTGTGGAGTTTGCATGTTCACCCTGTGTTGGCGCTATAGGGTAATTTATGAACTACATTAGCTGTAGTGTATGTGTGTGAATGAGTGTGTATGGGTGTTTTCCAGTACTGGGTTGCTGCTGGAAGGGCATCCGCCGTGTACAACTTATGCTGGAATAGTTGGCGGTTCATTCTGCTGTGCTGACCCCTGGGACTAAGCCGAAGGAAAATGAATGATCGAATAATATGAACTAATGTGATGCATATCTGCTAGTTACACATAAACAATACTGATTTCTAGATTGGGGAAGTTTGTAGTGCAGATAATTATCAAGTACTGTATTTGAAGACATTTTAATTTGAGTTAAATAAAGATTTTTATTATGATTACACAGTTTTAATATGAACTAATACACTCAATGCGATGCATATTTGTGATGCATACTGTCAAGTCAAACTAATATAGAAGGAGAAAAAAAAAATCCATCCGCCAGTCGGAGGGAGAGGCGGAAGGACATGCAGTAGTTCGGCATTCACGTAAGGAAAAAGGAAACTGAAACCTAACCAGAACAGAATCTCCGCCAAAGCCGAATCTCCGCCAAAATTGAGAAAGAAAGTGCACAACAGTTAAAAAACCATCATCAAGTCCTGGAGTGGCAGCCGGTGAAAACTTTACTTTGGTTATTGCATGAAAATCGTGACTGTCATGTCAGTATTTGAGGGCAAATCAACCGTGAAGCAGCATCTGAGTTCAAGTTCGGCACAGAGGAAAAGGTTGCTCCAACAGTGCTTATCTGCCCGCTGCTTAATTATTTCAAGATACAAATAGTTATTTGCAAACTAGAAGATGATATGAAGCAGAAATGTATAGTTTTGGTTATTTTGATCATCATTTGAGTGCTATCTGACTGACGTTAAGATGTTAATTTTCCTCCGTGATTCATATGCATGCATGAGCAGATCACGTGCACATAAGCTGATTGCTGCAGTAGCAAAATTAATCGCATTTCATTTATATGTCTTAAAACTAAATATTTAAGTTCAGTATATTAAACTGTACTGTTGATTGTGCTTTAACAAGTGTTAATTCAGTATAATATTTGAAATACTGTGTGAAAAATCAGACAAAATTCACAAATGTTTGTATATATATGTTTATTTGCAATTTAATTACATATGTTGTATTTTTGTTTATTTTAAAGGTTATTCACCTTTCAACTTTCTACTTTCAACTTTCCACCGTTATACTTTTTACCTGCCTTTCTGCTGCATTTATGATGCAATAAATGGATGAGTGGAATCCAGTTAAAACTCCCTTGATGATGTGTCTTCCTTTCAAGCGGGAAAACTAGTGCATAAGAGAATAGCTTAACACATACACATTTATAATATTGATTTCTGCCCTGGGGAAGTTTAAGTGCAGATAATAATTAACTATTTAGAACTATTTGATTTTAGTAAATAAATATTTGTATTATGATTACAAGATTTTAATATGGACTAATAAACTTAATGTAATACATATTTGCGAGTTACACATATATAATGTTGATTTCTGCATTGGGGAAGGTATAATGCAGATGATTCACTACTATTTAGAGCTATTTACTATTTTTTTTTTTATCAGTTTAAAAAAGCATTCACTCAGTAAAACAACCAAATATTTTCATTCTGCATTCTGAGCTACATTTAAACTGCATTATGATAATGATTAACAGCATGCAAACCCAGTCATCATGCATTTAAAACAGAAACATGCACATTTTTATGTCTGACTGAGATACATGCACACATTAGTTAATGCAAATGAACTGTCATAGACGTCTTAAAATGCATGGTATGATACTTTACAAAGACATGTGAAAGTGTACCATGAGATTCAACGTCAACACCCGTGTCTTCAGCCACTTTCAGGAAGATCTGTGGAATTTAACACCAGGACAATTGTGTTATTACAGAGTCCATAAAAAATGAGGGATAAAGCAAAACTATCACAAAATTAAAAAAGGCAGAGTTAAGTCCATAAATATTTGCACATCGACACAATTCAGACATGTTTGGCTCTATACGCCAACACAAACAATTTAAGAAACAAACGAAACAAACAAGACTGCAGACGGTCAGCTTTAATTTGAGGGTGTTTACATCCAAATCAGATGAATGCTGTAGGAAGTACAACAGTTTGCATATGTGCCTCCCACTTGTTAAGGGTCCAAAAATAATTGAACAGAATATTGATCATAAATCAAACTTTCACTGTTTAATACTTGGTTGTAAATCCTTCAGTCAATTACAGTTGCTGTAGTCTGGAACGCAGTGCCATCAGCAGACGCTGGGTTTCATCCCTGGTGGTGCTCTGCCAGGCCTCTACGGCAACTGTCTTCAGCTCCTGCTTGTTCTTGGAGCATTTTCTCTTCAGTTTTGTCTTCAGCAAGTGAAATGCATGCATAATCGGATTCAGCTCAGGTGATTGACTTGGCCATTGCATTACTTTCCACTTCTTTCCCTTCAAAAATCCTTTGGTTGCCTTTGCAGTATGCTTTAGGTCATTCTCCATCAGCACTGTGAAGCGCCGT